ATATATATAGTATATATTTATTTATTTTTAACGAAAGTCAAGTGCAAATGTGAAATTTTATTTTATTTTATTTTTTTATTATTTTTTTTAAGTTTAGAATGGTTCTTGTTTCGCCACAAACTGACACGGGTCCTACAACTTTCCTTTTCAACGTTTGATGACATCAACGGTTACGAGACATCATTATACCTGTAAGGTGCGCAACACCAGATCGTTCAATAACCCTAGTATATATTTATATATAAATATGGCAAAAAAACATAAAACCCCCTTCAAGTTTCAGAAATCAACATTTTACCCCCCTGAACTACAAAATAGAGCAAGTCAGTCCCTCAACTATCTGAAATGATCAGTTTCACCCCTTGATAGTCCTTTCCGGCTCATTTTCGGTACCGGCATTGTACATTTACAAAAATGTCCATTATAATTAACATTTTAAAAAAAACAAATAAAATTAAAATTGTGAAATACTATCAACACCCTCACAGTTATATACGACTTATATTGGTAAAGTTCATAAGTGTAAACTCAAGATAGTGACAGAGTGGTTTTCAGTTCTTAGAGAAGAGAAGATGAAAGGTCGTGATGCTAGGGTTTGTGAGACTACTGGTGCTGGTGCTGGTGCGTATATCAGACCTTTATTCCCATTTGTAACAACCACAACAAATGATTGAAACTTCAGTACAACTCCAGACAGTTGATTGTTCGAGAGTAAAACCTGCGTTAAGCCTGCCATTCTAGTCAGATATGCTGGAATCTCACTCGAGAATCTGTTGTTGGAGAGATCCAGAACTTCTAATCTAGTCAATTGAAAAAGATTAGGCGGGATGGGTCCTTCAAAGAGGTTGTGCTGAAATTCAAAGCAATTTGCAAAATTGTTGGTAGTGATGTGATATTCCCACGTAGCCCGCAAAGTTTCTATGCAAGCCTTGCTCTAAAGCATGTAAAAAGCGTATGCTTCATAGTTTTTTTATTTTTGAAAAATGAAGCAAATATATATATATTTTGTTAAATGGGTAAGCTTATGAAGCAAATATATTGACAAAGAGCTATTTACAGAAAAGGGCCTTTGGCCCAAACCTAAACATGTTTGGGTAACAAAGCTTCCAATAAGCCCAAATAATTGAAAGCATAGTACAAGGCCAAGCTGAGTAAGGAATGACTCAAAATAATATAAAAGTCATTACAACTCTTAGTATAAAAATTACAAATGAATTAAAATTTTACAATATTAGTATATAAATAAAAATTCATATTTTTTTAAAAATTTGACGTGTCAATATATTCGTGTCATGCGTATCTGTGTCCAAACTACATAATACGCATCTTATAATGCAATTGCATATTTATCGTGTTGTTGGTGTATAGAAATAAAAATAAAAAATATTTTCAATTTTTTTTTTCAAAATATATATATATTTAAAAGAGAGAAATAAAATACCACTAGACCGGTGGTGTATAAAAATTACTAAAAAAAAAAATTCGAAGTTACTTTAGAATTTGGCTCAAAGATTCTCTTGTTTTCAGTTTTGTGGCCAATGTATTGAAAAAACTCATACCATTCAAAAAATTGCTAGGTGGACGTTTCTTTTTTAAATAATATATATGGATTTTTTTGTTTCTTCTTGTCCGCTGTTCACCGAATCCCAAAACTTCGTATATATTCATTTTTCCCTTAAATTTCAAAACCTAAAAATGTTTTGAAAATAAATAAATAAATAAAAATTCAACTTTGTAAATGAATCGAATAGCCACACAGTATAATAAGGCACGTCCACTCTTTGCGCACACAATATCAACGAGTTATCACTAAACAGTTTGCACACAATATCAACGAGTTATCACTAAACATCAAATATTAAAGTTCAAACCATTATGAATTTAAAATTAACATTTCTATTTTCAATAACAGCTTATAAAACATTTGGAGAATTTTTATTTATTTATTTATTACATCAGCAAGTAACTCCACACTCACTCTTTGTCCCTCAAATTTTATCAAATAGCAGCTAATTCTCAGGGGACAAGAACCAAGCTCCGACGAAATAAACGAACTCAAACTCTGAGAAATCTACCTGTCCTTCCCCAGCTAGAAAAAGGCGCGGACAAGATACAGTCATGAAACTCTCCTAGAAGTACAAACAAATTGCTAATAATCAACTTATTATCTTAGAACTACGAACAAACTAAACATCAAGCAGCAACGAAATGCAGTTGAGCAAGATTAAATAATTTCCATTTTTATTCTTGAAGGCAGACTTTTTTGGAGTTCCATAGCACGCTTTTTTGCATATTGTTTCTCCTTGGTTTCCTCAAACAGCCACGATCTTGGTCTGCTAGCACGAATTATACAATGACGATCAATTATAATCTTCTCCAATGTGACGGCATTCTTAATCAAGTAGTGGGCTAACTCGAGGTCAATAACTCGCCAACAAACCCAGCCAATTCCACCTCCTTTAGGCTTTGATGGGGGCAGTTGCCACCTTCAAGCATTTTTCTTTCATATCGCTTCTCACGAGGTCCCAAATTTTCTATCTATGAAACAGAAAAGTGATAAATCATGCTTGTTTAAAATATGAGTAACGCTATTTAGACTTATTTGTCTAGCAGAGGAGTATAACCGAGGGAGATATATATATATATTTCCCTGCAGGTTTAGAACACAGACTTGTAGCAATACTCTTAAAGTCTGTAAAAGAAATGGTAATGCACAAAAATAAGGCATTTCAAACTCAAGGAAATATACCAGCCAAATCAAAAGCTATCCCAACGCATAATGATACTCAACAACGAAAACAGGGCAGACCACGAAGTATTGATGGAACAGTTGTGACATCCAAACAAGCACTTCATTAAAGATTAACAACTTACAATAATTAAATTTAGTCATAGTAGAGTGCTGATTTACATTAAAGCAGTATGTTAAAGTTTCCATGTACAAAAAAATTTTGAAACGGGGTCAACATATCTAAAAAGACGCAATTATTAGTACATAAAGTAATCAATAATCAATGTTAAATATAGTCATATATAATAGATGCACTACACTCAAATTAACTCAACAAAGTCTTTTTCCCAACTATTTGGAGTCGGCTCATCCCAAATTTTCAATTTCGCTTTATTCAAAGTCATAACCTCAAACTCTCATTCAAGCTACACGTTATCAAATATTTCGTTAGTAATTCTATACATGCTCCCTTTGATCTTCCCCACGTTACCGTCAATGTGAATCATGTCATTCTTCTTAACTCACTCACTTAGTGGTCTTCTTCTTTGCACACGTCCAAACCCATTTATCTCTCATTTTGTCTTCAATTGGTGTTTTCAATCTTAGCTGGATTTACAGATCAAACAAAATACTAAATGAACTACGCCACTCAACTTATCTTGCGCTGATTACATCCAGTATGCATTGGTTGTGACCCTCCCTCTTGCCTTTCTTTATGGAACTACTATAACGGATTAAAATAAAATAAAATAACATACTTCGTTAATACAAATTGAGATTTAGTTATTAAGCAACGACCAATATATATTTCAATTGTAATATGCTTTTTATTTTTCGGTTATGTCTTTCAACTCCAAGTAGATATATGGTACACTGTAACTTACAAGATGGATCCTACACAGATTTTTATTTTTATTTTTTAATGACCTCCAATTATATACTACCTCCGTCCCTTATTAGTTGTCCATTTTTTGTTGTATAACTTTTTAAAGAGATATGCAATTAATGCATTGTTCCCTTTTTAAAGTACTAAATTGTCCTTCAAACATTAAATATATATAATACTAAAGTTTGAAATTTTTAAAAAAGATAAAGGACAATGATGAAAATATAATGAAAAGATGCTTTTACTTTTTAAAAAGGACAATTAATTTGGGACATGCAAAAAGAGAAAAATGGATTACTAATACGGAACGGAAGAGTAGATTAATACAATTTTAACTGTAAAAATTTAAAAACTTCATATAAAGAAGACCATTATCCAATGCAACTGACTTCTATTCATGGCCATTGCTGAGAGAGGAAGACATGAGAAATAAAAAAAGAGAGAGACCGAATATAAATTTTGAAAGATTTATATATGCATATAAAATATTGTACCTTGTGCTTTTTCGTGCATTTAGAGATCGGCCTCGTCGTTTTCCTCATTAGACCTGATGTTACATTTGTTTTTGCGTTCTTTTACTCATAATTTATAGCTAATAATCTCTGTATAGGCTACCCAAAACAACACAATTACCGAGTAAAGGAGCTTGACAACTCTAAATTTAATAGAAATTTTTGTAAAGTAGAGTTTATGAAAACAAATCTAATAGACCTTTAAAAAAAAAGAAAAAAAGAAGGGAGCTTATGGCAACTCTAATGATTGGATTTTTGGTCGAGAAAGGAAGTTCTCACTCTAAATAAAAATAGACGTAATAGGATTACTCCATGGAATCTATCTGCAGTTTGCAGTTTGGATCTTTATCTCAAAAAGCCCATCCGAAAGTTTATGGACCAAGCCCCTTTATACTAAAGGACCATTTTGTTTGGGCCAATAATTTCACAGACGAGCCCAACGTCCTATCTTGTGGGCTACCAGGTATCTATCTCCAACTTTGGAAAAAAATAATAAAAAACTCAATTTAAAAATTAAAAAAAAAAAAAACTTATTTTTAGAGAACTCAAAAAACTGTGATCTAAAAATAATTCTTTTTAATGACAAAGAAAACGTATCCTATTTTTTTCTAATTTATTTTGAATATGGTGATTCTGTGTTTCCAAAAGCAACTGTAGTCTTTTCTTTTCTTTTCTTTGTTTTTTTTTTTTTGGGCCAAACGAATTACAGTTTTAAAGAAAAAGTACAGTTGCTTTTGGAAACATAGAAACAAGCTTTGAATGACATAAAGTCAGTCTCGGATCTGAAATTTTTTTAGATAGCAAATGGGTTAACGGGTACAATCCATCTAAAAACCCAAATTTTCTCTCTCCTCGCTCACTTATTCTCTTTACCCTAACCCTAAAGCCAAACAAGCCGGCACTGCTTCTCCCTCAAACCCACCACCAATCCCTAGCCTCTCCGCCCCATAATTATTTCTCCTCGCTCACCCCAAATTCTCTCTCCACTCTCTTTCGCTCTCTACTCTCTTTCCTCAATCGAAACCAAAAACGCAAACGCTCGCAACGAGTTGACGACCTTCCTCGCAACCACATCCCCAAACACAAATGAGCAACGTTGATGACCTTCCTCGAGCCGTCGCCGACGATGACCACCACCCGCCACTTTAAACAGCTGCGTCGATCTCTACCTCCTCGAAGCATTCGAGAGATCCTATAACACCATCGAAGTTGTCGACCACGCTAAAGGTATTTGCCTTACGATGGAGGCCTCGCTAGGCAAATACCTTCCAGAGTGCTCCCTCGTGTGTGTAAAGCCCTAAAATCTTCATTATCTTCTTTGCTTCTTCAAGGGTTCGGGTTCTTCGGAAATACGCAGTCAGATCGTTATTTTCTCGCCCTAAAGACACAGAGCCATCGCCGGCGATAGCGAAGGGGACCGATGACAGCTTGAAGCAGGTTAGTCTCTCTCACAGTTTGTAGTTAGATCTCTCCCTTGAGGCTGAAACGAAACCCTAGATCTAGGTTTGCTCTTTCTACCGGCTCAAATGTTATGTGGTTGCCGAGTTAGGATTTTGTAACTCATTCAACACTCAGACCAGATCTGTTGACCAGATCTCTAGCACACTTCTTTTGTTGATCTTATGTAGCCTTGTAATATGCTGAATTGAAGAACAATTTTCAATTAGCCAGTATCCATATATATGTGTATCAGTTAATTTTACTACTGATATGGATAAATTATTTTATATATTTTTTACAAGATAATTAGATCCCGTTTAAAGTCAATTTTTATAGTCAATTGTCTGAGGTGGCAATAGCTACATGTTCATTAGATCTCGTATTTAAATTCCAATTTTCTTTTCATTGATCTTATTTTATTATTATTATTTTTTATCTTGTTTCCGGATACTTTTGTATATCTAGTCCATTGAATAATCTAGTGTTTATGTATCAATTTAGGATTCAACCTTCATAGATGTGTGCATTTCCTTACCGGATTTGTTGATTAGGTGGCATGTTGGTTGCTTTGTGGATCATCTATTTGTCTTCAGAACTGTTTGCAGACTAATATTGTGCCTTGACCTTACACAAGATGATTATGTGTCTAATTTTTTAGATGATAAAAGAAGGCCAATGCTCTTTTATAAGGGTTAGAAATCACATTATTGAGGAACTCATATTCATCGTCTTTTGTACTTATGTACACTTATTAACATATTATTGCTCAGCGATTGCGTGATTATGGACCCTTAGCTAGACAAAGTATAAACAATATACATGTTATTAGCTATCACTCAGATATTTTTGTAAATGTGTGTGTATATATATATATGTGTGTGAATAAAATAAACTAATAAATAATGCTTTAGTTTAAGGTTATTTGCAATGAGTTTTAATTTATTTTCTTCTTATCCCACAATTTGGAATTTGAAAGTCGGGGTTTGACATCTATTCTATAAGATCATTATGCCCCATTTACTAAAAATTGATTGTTTTTTTTTTTTTTTTAAGTTAATTGACTATTCTTTTTATCTGCCCTTATTTAATAAATGTGAGATTAAGTAGTTCAGATTGTTAGGCCCAATTTACTAAAAATTGATTGTGTTTTTTTTTTGGAAGTTAATTGACTACCTGAACGGTTTTCTATTCTTGTTTATTTATATGTGAGATCAAGTAGTTCTATTCTATAAGATTGTCTTAACCTTACGTCTATTTTTTTAGATGGTAAAAGAAGGCCAATGCTCTTTTATAAGGGTTAGAAATGACATTATTGGGGAATTCAGATTCATCGTCTTCGGTACTTATGTACACTTTTGTTCGGACTGATTTGAAATCATGTGAGCAAAGAATCAAAGAAAGTGAGGGGAAACTTGTAGAGATTGAGGACCTTTTCTGGGGACTCTGAGCTGATCCACACGAGGGGTGTGGGAGGTGGGAAGATGCGAGCTCAGATTGTATATGCTCCAAATCTGAATTTGCTGCACGCATTGCACTCAAACAAATGTCCAGAACTGAGAAGATTCCCATTCATGGTGAGTTTGGATTTAATCATTGTATACGATTTTAGTAATATCGGACTGTTTAGTAATATTGGTGATTAAAGATGGTATTACCGTTGTGGTGGTTGTAAGAATTTGAATAACCAGTGCAATCATGGTAGTTAATATTTTAATGCAGTGTGTGTTTTTTTCTTCTAGAGTATCAAGCCTGACGCTGAAGATGGATTGCGTGGATATAAACACTATCTGTAATCTGTGCCTGATCTTGTAAACTCTTCAATGTCTGGTATGGAATTCCGAAAAATGTTGAAAAAAAGGTGGCATGCCTATAATTTGAGGGCTGTCTAGGGAGTGGGACACCCTTCATGAGAAAGGGTCTTTTTTTCAATGAATTGTTTCTCATTTATTTTCATGAAAATGATTAGGGCTGTAGTTAAATGTATGCTTCCAGCCGTTGTTGGCAGGGACATAACTCGAAGGACATAACTCGAAGAAACTTTGTGCTGCGATTTAGCCAGAGGCTGGATATTCCGAGCGTACGAGTAAATAAACACTTTTTGTGATCTGTGATCAAGCCCGACGTTGAAGATGGATTGCATGGATATAAACACAATATCTTGTAAACTCGGCCGTGCCTATAATTTGAGGGCTGTGATCAAGCCCGACGCTGGAGATGGATTGCGTGGATATAAACACAGTATCTTGTAAACTGGTATGGAACTCCGAAAAATGTTGAAAAAAAGGAGGCATGCCTATAATTTGAGGGCTCTCTAAGGGAGTGGGACACCCTTCATGAGAAAGGGTCTTGTTTTTCAATGAATTGTTTCTGATTTGGTTTCATGAAAATGATAGGGGTTGTAGTTAAATGTATGCTTCCAGCAGTTGTTGGTTCTGAGAGTACGAGTAAATGTTTTAGCATCTTAAAATTTCAATTATTTTCAAACAAGGATTTCATTTCAAATACTTAACCCTATGTTAGGGAGTATCAAATCGTTCAGACTATGGTTTGCCGCGGTGATATGTTTTTGAGCTCGATACGTAATCTGTATCGGTTATTTTTTCGAGTTAGATATGTAATTTGTATCGATCAGTTTATACTGGTTTTGTTTCGAATATGTTACATCGCGATCAATACTGCGAACCGTGGTTTGTAACGCGACCAATACTGCGAACCATGGTTTGTAACGCTATTGATATTGCGAAACGATACTGCAAACGCTATTGATATTGCGAAACGATACTGCAACTAACGCATCATCAATTTCTTTACTTTGTGAAAGTCAATTTCCAGATGTATTTGACAAAGCGTTGGACAAGGCATGACAATGAGAATGATCTGTAGAATGGTAGAACTGAAAGTCCATAGTTGATATGTTATGTTATTTAATTATTAATAATTGAGTACATAATTTTCAAAACTAATTTGCTAAATGCCAGTTTGTCAGTTGGCATGAGAATAATCACGAGGTCTGTAGATTTAGTTCAGGCATTTGTGTGTGTGATAGAGAGACCGCAAACTAATTTTCTTATACCCTATAAATTATACTTTTTTTATTTTTCACCTTAAATTATAAAAATTATATAAAATTGAAGTGAATCATTGTCTTAGCTGGAGATCAAGTTAAAGATAAGTGCTGTGTTAAATTGTTAATATAACTGCATGCATGTTTCACTACATATTTTTATTGTGCCAATTAACTAGTGCATGGTATTTAAAGGCATTACCTCATGTTAGAATTTGGATAAAAATATAAGGTTGCAAGTACGAAATGACAATATTTGTCTTAAAGCAAGTAAGGACGTGGCCTAAGAAAAGATTGATACGTGTTTAAAAAATATGTAATATTTAAAAAAAAAAAAAAAAAAATTGAGTGAAGCCCATTTTTCATGTGTGATATGTTAATCCAACTAGTATGCGTGTGTATAAGAGATGCATATAAAGATGGATTATAGATTGAAGAGAATTTCATTTCAAAAACCCTAATCAGCGCCGCCACTGCCCTCCTCTCTTCTTCTTATTAGAATTGAATTAAGGTTGACTCATTAGAGTATTATAGAAAATGGAATAAGAATTATAGATATCTTCTCTTGTTCTTCATCGCCACTCCGTTAGAACTATAAGATTGTGATTGACGAGTATGAAATTTTTATTAGAAACTTTTTTTGGGGGCCAAAATACGGTACCATAGAGAGGGCAGACGGCTCTGACGAGGGTAAAAAAGGAACACAAATGATATAATTATGAAGATGTTAATGTTCGATAACGTAAATGAATAATTTTATATATGAAATATGAATTCTATCTTTGCTGTATGTTAAAAACGAGTCTGATTAACTTTTAATTTAGGACAAATGTCAGCATTTTATTGTCCCTTGTGAAATTCTAAAGGACAATTTTTTCAAATTTGGCCTGTTTGGTTAGTTAGAAATTGATGATAGAAAGTGAAAGGAAAAAAAAATAAAGTGAAAGAAAAGAAAATTAAGTTTTTATCAGGGCATTTGGTTAGCATTAATTTTTTTTTAATAGAAATTGATGATAGAAAGTTAAAGAAAAAGAAAGAGAGTGAAAAAAAAAATAATTTTACATGCTAAATGTATCTTTATGGATTCGGATTCAATACTAAGTAATATATACCATGCAATAAATATAGTAATAAAATAACAAATACAGATGGTTAATAAATAAATATATATATATATATATATATATATATATATTTATTTATTTATCTATATCTATATCTATACTATTATTAAATGTACAAAGAGTTTAGTGTTTCAGTATTTATTTATTAATATAAATTTATAAACAAAAAATTACGTAAAAATTATTTAAAGATTTTAATTCAAATTACAAATTACCTAATAAAGTTCATTTTTCTTATTCCACATTGGTTTTAAGTAATAAGTATTACATAGAAGTCTCTTATAAAACTATTGACCTAAAAAAATAATAATCACACATTTATTAGCCTTTTAGTTAAGATCAAGTGTAGTACTAAATTTTTTTTGGTCGACCTTTTGATTAACCTTTCTTGGTCTTTTGGCTAAGATCAAGTGTGTACTACTTTCTTGGCTAGCACTAAATTTTTTTGGGTCGGCCTTTTGGCTAACCTTTCTTGGTCTTTTGGCTAAGATCAAATGTAGTTCTACTTTCTCGGCCTTTTGACTTTCAGTATTTATTTATTAATATAAAAAAAGAGTTTTTATAAATAAAAAAATATCCTAAAAATTATTTAAAGATTTTAATTCAAATTACAAATTACCTAATAAAATTTATAAAAATTAATTTAAAGAGTTTAATTCAAATTACAAATTACCTAATAAAATTCATTTTTCTTGTCATACATTGGTTTTAAATAAAAATGATTACATGAAAGTCTCTTATAAAACTATAGACTTAAAGAAATAATAATCACACTTTTCTCGACCTTTTGGCTTAATTACATCTTTCTTGACCTTTTGGCTAAGATCAAGTGTAGTACTAAATTTTTTTGAGTCGGCCTTTTCGCTAACCTTTCTTAGTCTTTTGGCTAAAATCAAGTGTAGTACTATTTTCTCGGCCTTTTGGCTTTCAGTATTTATTTATTAATATAAAAAAAGGTTTTTATAAACAAAAAATTACCTAAAAAGTATTTAAAGAGTTTAATTCAAATTACAAATTACCTATTAAAATTCATTTTTATTGTCCCACATTGATTTTAAGTAAAAAAGATTACATGGAAGCCTCTTATAAAACTATAGACCTAAAGAAATAATAATCACACCTTTCTCAGCTTTTTGACTAAGATCAAGTGTAGTACTAAATTTTTTTGGGTCGGCCTTTTGGCTAACCTTTCCATTCGATTATCCTACTTAGTTAATTTAGAATTAATCATCACAATTCGATTATCCTACTTTCAAGTCAATTTAGAATTTAAGAAATCTGTTGACAAACTTATTTTACACAAGTTTCTTGGGTATGACACCCTTACAAGTAAACTTTATTTGTAAAGATTCGTGCACTTGTGAATGGTACATATAAATCTCACAACAGTGCGTTTGATATGGACAAGTAAGTTAGAAACAGATCATATGCATGATAGATTTGATAGCTACTCTAAAGGCACTAGGATGGATTATTTTACGATCTCAATGATAAAAGTTGATTGTTTACACTTACTATTTATCTATAGGATGGTCATATTATGAATCGCATACCTAGTAACATAATAGTGTTAGAGGAGATGGTAGGAGTACCAGTTGTACCACATATGAACACACTTATTATAAAGATTAAGAATCATAGATGAATTCCCTATTGATGCGTAAGCATCATCTAGTACACAGATTCCTACATCGGTACATTGATGTAGTGGGAGTATTATCATCCAATTCGATATAATCATATTTTTAGTTGAGACTTTTATGGACATCCCTGTTAAATATGAGTTAGACCTAGTAAGCTACACGGAAGCGTGAACCGATATAGATACAAATGGTTTTGGTAAGTTGTTATGAAATCAGAGTTGGAATCTATATATTCTAATAAAATCTGGGATCCTGTAGAACTTTTTAGTAGAGTGATACCTATGGAAGGCAAGTTAATTTACAAGAGCATACCAAAAGATTTCTTAGTGAATGAACCATCTGTGTACAGGGTAATGTCATTATTTTTCTAATTCTATATATATTGATGACATCCTACTCATTTAGAATGACGTGGAAGCTTTGTCATTTTTAAAGAGGTAGTTGATCAATTACTTTGGAATGAAGGATCTTCAAAATGTAAGCTATATTCCTAGGATCAAGTTTTTACAAGATCGAGTTAAAAGGAAAATAGGCTTATCTTAACAATTTTACATTGATAAACTTTAAACTAGGTTTGGTAAGCAAAACTGAAAGAACGAGTTCTTGTTTTATAGACATGGATTGCTCTCTCTAGTAAGTAGTTTTCCAAGACTAGTAGAGGAGATTGAGCAAATAAGACTGAAATATTATGCTTCGGCATGTGGGAGTATCATTTATGCCATAGTCTATACCAAACAGGACATTTGCTATATTGTACGGATAGTCAGTAGATATCAGTCTAATCCCGAATTTGATAACTGGTCTGTTGTGAAATATATCATAAAGTATTTTAGGAGAACCAATAATCTCATACTCATTTATGGATGTGATGATGTGGTTCTAGTCGGGTATACTAATTCTGATTTAAAATCAGATGCAGATACTATAAGGTCCATGACTTAGTATATGTTCACTCAATGGAAGGGAAATCAGTTAGTAGATTATTAAGTAGATTTCAACTGCTGACTCAAACCTGAAAATGGAGTACATTACAACCTTAAAGGCAGCAAAGGAAGCCTTTTAGTTTGATCTCACTGATTTAGAGGTTGTGGAGCATACTAGCTCACCTATCGAGTTATATTGCGACAATAGTGCAGAAGTAGTCCAAACCAATGACCTAAGGTTCCATAGAGGAACAAGGTACACTGAGAGGAAGTATCATGTCCTACATGATATTGTCCGGTAAGAAAATGTACTCGTGGTTAGAACATTGTATTGGAACACAACTTTGTTGATCCATTAACAAATGTGTCATCGATCAATAGTTTTGATCGTCACCTGGATAACATGGAAGTTAGATGCGATTCGAATTGGTTATGAGGGCAAGTGGGAGCTGTTGGGATTTAAACGCCCTAGCATAGCAAATTCCTATTTGGATTAAAGTGACATATGTTCCTAACATATCTGAAATATTTATACTTTATACAATTGGTGAATTCAATGTATTATGTTTCGATTCATTATGGAATTGATAGTGTCCACTTGATTACAAAAGATATTTATATATGTATGTGATGGCGATCAATACATGCACATAAATAGTAATTATAAATAGTTCATAGTCGGTAATTATGGATGGACTCATTATTAACTAAGACTTGAACTGGATCCGCGTTAGGTTGAGATATATTGCGAGAGCCGTCGTATGCAATTGCTTCTTATTACTATCATGACATTTAACTCTTAAGCATGAGAGAAGTATATACTCTCTTACTAATTAATAATTACTTTGATTTGTTCGGCGGAATCTTCAGAATCTTTAGACCGGTACTTTGAGTAAATATGTAATTAATAGTTAAAGGGTTATATTTTCAATATTTGCATCATTGTTACTTGTTTTTATTTTGTATTGATTATGGTTGATCATAAAGTAAATTCGAAGGCCTTCGTGTGTTTTTAGACAAAATGATTTATTATATATATATTTATTTAAATTATTATTTTTGTCAAATAAATATTTTATTGTGATCAAATCAGAAATAATCAAAGGTATCAAAATAAATATATTAATTTAGTAGTCAGATTGATGGCTTTATTTATTCGATAACTAATTATGCATAGAGGGGTCAAAATGCAATATTGACTTAGTGGTTATTTATTATTTAATTGGAATTCAATTAATTTCTTTTAGTAGAGTAAAAATTAATGTATGAATTAATTGAATTGGATCCATGGACCGGACCAATTATTAATTCATTGTAGTCAATAAAATAATAAGTCTAAAGGATTCTCATTCATAGCCCAACTTGATATTGGAGACCCATTAGATTTGAGATATCACGTTATTTTTAGAAATTGAGAAAAATATAATGTCTTCAATTATTATTTTTATTTTGCCTATATATATATGGGGTCTATGTATACTTTAGGAGACGCCTTTGTGCAAAAATTTTTAGAAGACAATAAAATATTTCTCTCTAGGATTTTAGGGTTCGTGTTCTCATCTAATGGAGGCTCCCACAAACTAAGCTTTCCAAAGTCATTCATGGAGGCTTATGGGTGATTCTTAAAGGCAACATCATTACCAACAAGATGGAAATCCATGGAAGGGGTATTTAGAAAAAGGGATCTACAATAAGTGAGAACATTTACTTTAGAAGAGAGATTTAAGGTTTATTCAAACCTTGATGTAAGTTTTATATCCTTAAATTAAATAGATCATTATGTTTTTTATGTATAAAATTTATTACTACACATAAATCAAGATCTTTATTTAAAAATTCCTCGTAAAGTTTTAAAAACTTTCGTTTTCTCAATAGAACTATCTGTAAATAAGGTGCAGATGTGGATCATCCTTCAACTTTCATTAATTTTTTTTAATACAATATTAACTATAAAATACTATAGACATATATATATATATATATATATATATATATATATATATATATTATATTATATATTTATGATATGATTCAGCAAATATATTATATAATATATATAAGATTAACTTTTGGGATTGGCAAGTGGGAAAAGGATGGACACATGTAAAGTTGATTGATGTCAATATATGGCCTCTAGCAGTTAAACGTGTGAACAAGTAAAACTGATTTGACTTTCTGGAGATAGTACATTTAGTACAATACGTTAAAACTCTGCCACCCTGTATGTAACCACGTTGACATTCACGTTAGTTGTAACTTTTCAACCTCGCAGAGAATGTTCGTTCATATATTCCAACACTTTACACATTATTCTTAGCCTCATGGGATGGGAGAATTCAGCTATGTATATAACAAGGAGTTGTAGTGAAGGAACCTAAAGTTAGAATGTCTCTTAAATGAAATGCTCTGGATAGACTTGGCTTCAAAGTGAGTTTTGTGTGAGCCCTACGATGAAACCTCATCAATTCAGATAATCATTCTCAAAGTTGAAGGAGAGAAATGATCGTTCGTCTTTCATCCACGTGGGAGACTATTTATGAGGTTGAGACTTCCAAACCGCATAAATCTACTTTGAGCTGCCATGAAAGAGACGGAACAGGAGGGATTGTCTCAGTGAAAGGCAAATATTCCTACCTCCATCATTAATTTCCTTAATTTGGTTAGTCTACTCTTTCTCCTTTATTCAATCTCCATCTCAGGTCCCTCGTATTTGTGTGTTGAAAATATCTCTATTATTATTATTATTATTATTATTATTATATTCTATTGTGTTACAGCTAAATTATACTTTACATTTTACCTTTCTTCTGTATTCCTATATTGGCACTCTTCATTGTTCCATTGTAGTGTAGTGTAGTGTAGGGCCCAAATTTTGATGCTGCAAGTAGGGTTCATAGATAATTATGCTGTATTCCTTTCTTATTCTTTCATTTCCAAATTCAACTTTTCTCTTCTTTACTGTTTCCATCTTTATCTTTAGGAAGCTTGAAGCTGATGCAAATAATACATTCACTCATGCTTCTTCTTTACTCTTTCAGTAAGCTATCTATTAACATGCTTTTGGCCCATTAATCAAGCTCATTTCCTTAATTTGGTTCCCCACTTCGTTTTCACTTTTTCTTTATTCCTCTTTTAACTTCCCACCTATTTTCCCAATCAACACCATCACTTTCTGCATCAGGAGGAATGAATCAATAAAATTTGTTATAGACTCTAATAAATCTGTCTGTGCCCGTGTTGTTATTTTTATTTGATTTGTTGTTCTGTTTTTGTTTTGTGTTTGTTTACAATCAAATGGAGAAAGGATCAAGTTTCATAAAATGATAATACTACTAGATCAAATTAGAGCTGTCTTTTGAGGTTGAAACTTTTGAAAGACCAAGTATAATTATGATTTAGATTTTGCTTTAAAAAAATAATGAAAAAGAAAAGGAAACTTGGAGTCAATAAAATATCAAATTATCTAAAAAATCTAAAATAGAAAATATAGCTAAAAAATTCAAAAGTTCAGGTTTTGAATTGTGTGAAATTGAAGCATTTGAAATTCATGAGAAAATTGGAGTAAAAGAGAATAATCCAAACATGAAGCATTTGCTTCCAACTAAAACATGTTAGGACATAATCTGAACAAATTATATGGTTCATCTGTTTAACTTTTTGAAAGACAAGAATAACTTTTCTCAAGAAAAAATAAAATTGTTTTAACTTTTTTGTTTTCGTTCTCTATTAAAATCTTTTATTCTAAAATGTATCCTCAAAGATAGGTATCCATTCACTTCCAAAAGAAAGGAATCACTCTAATTGACAATAAGAATAGGGTCCTTTTGCTTTTTACAGAACACAACATGAAGTGATGAATCAAAGCAAAGCAAAATGACTTGTATTTATTGAAATTCATATTGAGATTGGGGAGCCAAGCCATCTAAACCTTCTGTCTTTATTGTTATCTGAGAGAGAGAAAAAAGAGGAGAGAATGGCAGAGAGTGCAGTTACCTTTCTGATCAACCAGATGACACCGCTCCTTCAAGAGAGGCCAAACTTCTAGGAGGAATTCGGGAAGAAGTTGAGTTCATCAAAAATGAGTTGGAGAAGATGAAAGCTTTTCTGAAGGTTGCTGATGCAAATGAAGAGCTTGACCCAGAGCTTGAAGTATGGGTTAACCAAGTGAGGGAAGTTGCTTATGACACTGAAGATGCTCTTGATGAAGTCATCCTTCGCCTTGCTCATCATCACGGGGCTATGGTTTTCTTCGCAAGATTTCCTGTTCTATTAAGAACTTGAAAGCTCGCCATCGGATTGGTTCTGAGATACGTAAAATAAAGTCCACAGTCGAATATATACGTAAAATAAAGATACCTTTATGGATTTCGTATCTCAGAGCGTGGATCAAGCTCCACCATCGTCAACAACACATTGTATGATCGCCGAGGTGATGCACTTCTACTGGAAGAGGCTGAGCTTGTTGGCATGGATGGGCCCAAGAAACAGTTGATTGGGTGGCTTCTGGAGGACAGTCCAAGACTCAAAGTAGTTTCAGTGGTGGGGATGGGGGGTATGGGAAAAACCACCCTAGTAAAGAAAGTCTATGATGATGTGGAGGTGAAGAATCATTTCCGATGCCATGCTTGGATCACTGTTTCTCAATCATTTGATCTCAGAGAGCTTCTCAAAGACTTAATTCGAAGACTCTTCAATGAAGCCAACAAACCGGTCCCTCAAGAATTGGAACCCATGGACATCAACAACTTGAAAGCGGAAATCAAAGTTTTCCTTCAACAGAGAAGGTATGTGCTTGTTTTAGATGATGTATGGCAAATACATGCATGGGATTCTTTTAAATATGCATTCCCTGACAACAATAGTGGCAGCCGAATACTGCTCACGACTCGCATTGTTGGTGTAGCTTCTACGTCTTGTGTAGAATTTCCTGATCACATTTATACTATGAAACCATTGTCCCAAGAAGAGTCTAGGACTCTTTTCTGTAGGAAGACATTCCAAGGCAACTGCTGCCCTCCATATTTAGAGGAAGTCTCACGACGTATCTTAGAAAAGTGCAAGGGCTTGCCACTTGCAGTTGTGGCAATTAGTGGTGTTTTGGCTACCAAAGACACAAGTACATCCCATGAATGGGAATTGTTTCATCATAGCCTTGGCGCTCAGTCAGAAGGCCACGACAAACTTGAGAGTATGAAAAAGATACTCTCTCTCAGTTACTATGATTTGCCTTTCTATCTAAAAATATGTTTCTTGTATTTGGGTTTATTTCCTGAGGATTACAAGATTGAGCGCAAGAGAGTGATTCGACTGTGGATCGAAGAAGGATTTGTGGAAGTGAGAGTGGGAAGGACAATGGAAGAAGTTGCTGAAGTCTATCTCAATGAGCTTATTAATAGAAGCTTGGTCCAAGTGGCAGAGATAGATGGTGTTGGAAGGATTAGAGAATGTCGCATCCATGACCATTTTCGTGAAGTAATTACTTCAAAGTTGAGAGAACAAAACATTGCTGCCATGGTAAGCAAAGAAAGCACAACATGGCCGGAAAAAGTTCGGCGCCTATCAATTCAGTAAACCTTGGCAAACTTGCAGCATACAAATCGTTTTCCTCAACTCCGTTCCTTGCTCACGTTCTCAGTTGAAGAACCTATATCCAAGTGGTTGATGCCTATATTGTTCAATGGTGGGGTTAGGTTGTTGAAGGTTTTGGACTTGTGGGGTACTTCTTTAAAGATACTTCCAAATGAAGTTGGCAAACTATTTCATCTAAGGTATTTAAGCTTGAGGAGAACACAGGTTAAAACGCTTCCGAAATCCATAGGTAAGCTTAAAAACCTTGAAACTTTGGATCTCAAAGGCACCTATGTAACTGAGTTGCCTGTTCAGATCTCAAAGCTCCAGCGTCTTCATCATCTCTTGGTGTACTGCTACGGTACTAGAAAATATGGCTTTAAAGCAATAGTGGGAATAGAAGGTTTGTCTTCCTTACAAAAACTTTGTTATATTGAAACGAACCATGATAATGGTAGAGTTGTAATGGGAGAGCTAGGGAGACTGACCCAGCTGACGAGATTGGGGATTACAGAGTTGAGAAGGGAGGATGGGAAGGCTTTGTGCTCCTCTCTTGAAAAGATGAGTAACCTTCAAGCATTGGACTTAGATTCTGTAGAAACGGAAGAAATTGTTGATATTCAACACTTGTCTTCTCCTCCTCGGTCTCTTCAACGGCTCTATTTGTGGGGACATTTAGAAAATTTTCCGCATTGGATAACCTCTCTTCATAACTTGATGAGATTGCGGCTTGGGTATAGCAAGTTAAGGGATGATCCATTGCAATCCCTTCAAGATTTGCCCAATCTGATAGAAATTGTACTTGTTAAGGCTTACCAAGGGGAGAAACTGTGTATCAAAGCGACAGGGTTTCAGAAGCTTAAGATATTCGAGCTTTACAAATTAGAAGGATTGAGGTGGGTGAGAATGGAGAAGTGATCATTGCCTCATCTTGAAAAGTTGATTATTAGGAACTATAATTTGGTGGAAGAGGTACCCACTGGCATTGAAAATCTAACTAACCTTAAATCCCTAAACCTCTTTGGTGTGTCAGATAAATTAAATAGGAATAATTACGTATAAATGGGGTTAGGGTTCCGTATTTACTCAGAGGCGGAGTCAAAGTTCCATATTTTCCTAAAATGGATCGCTGACGTGGCACATGGATTATTACTGTTCAAGAAATGTTTTGCCAAAAATGCCCTTATCACTATTTCAGCACATTTACTTATTGCCCCCATTTAATTTAGTCACCCAAATTGTTGCCCTAAAATACACACACAGTCGTGCATCACATATCCATCTCACATCAGCGCCCCCTCTCTCTCTAACCAACGAAGCAAGACCAGGCAACCCATCTCGGCACACACCATCACCGAACATGGAGCCCTAACCCTCCTTCATCTCATTCGTGAAGAGCCCCTCTCTTTCTTTCTCCCCCCCCTCCTCTGTGTAACAGGATTAAAGCATCCTTGGTTGAGCCCTAACCCTCATTCAAGCCCTCTCTCTTTCCCCCTCTGTAACAGCGAAGCACTTCTCCACGTCTAACCGTCATTGGTGTGCCCTCTGTCTCTGCCCCTCTCTATAACCCAGCGAAGCATTTCTCCACTTCTGCCATTCATTTATTGTTGTTCTTGAACTGAAGTAAGTACTCTCTCTCTCTCTCATACACACACACGTTTATTTTTTAGATGATTATGGCCCTGATTTAGTGGTATAATTTTTTTTTTTTTTTTCCAATTGGATGTCTGATTTTCATCTAGGTTATGTTTATATGTATTCTCCTCTTATAATTTCTATTATGCAATCATATATATATATAATTTCTATTCTGCAATCAAGATTGTTGTTGCTCTGTTTGTTGTATATGTTTGAAATGTGCGTAACAAAATGTTGCACAAATTTGGGCTAATTATAAGGGCTCATTTAAAAAATTATAAGGTAGTTCCTCCCCTGCACATGAATTATAATTTTTACATCTAACATTTTAAAATCCATTCTAATTACGTTGGTTTTAGCCTGCCTCTTTGTCTACTACCAAAAGGACATGAAAAAACAATATATAATTGGAGAAGAAGAATTCAATAATCTCAAATTTTCAATCAGTTTTTTAGTCAACTAATATAAATGAACACCAAAATCTATGTCACAGGTATATGTTGACGGGTATAACAGACAATACAGTTTAGGTATAACAAGAAAGATGTCTGTAACAAGAAGACATGGAGAAGAAAACAATGAGAGAAAAGACAATGAAGAAGATAACAAGAGGAAAAAAACCTGGTAGATTAATAAATAATCTCCTATTGTGTACAGAATCACAACACTTACTCCAAAAACAAATATATATATATATATATATATATATATATATATATATATATAATATTGTGAGTTGAGTTGAGAATTTCACTTGACAGAGCTTTGATGTCAAATAAATAAAGAAAGATAGGTTTCATAAATGAGGAGTGAAGAGGTTAAGGGAACACTGACAATATTTCTTTGTATTTTGCTCTGTTTTGAAAAGGCCACATGAGAGAGCTCTCTCTCTCTCTCTCTTTGAGGTGGATCTGTTTTTTTTGGTCCAAAACTCTGGCACTACAATCAAACCAAAGACACCACCTTTATGTGAAGGTGAATACGGATACTACTTCTCTTTGCACGAGGGAAGGAATCAGAATCAAAATCAAAATAAAATTAAAAACAGCTAATGGGTGATATAAAGTTTTCAATTCCTAGCAGATAAGTGCAGTACTACTAAAGTCTCTTTTAAGAGATAAGCATTAAAACATGGTAGAGTTTATAGATTTTTGTAGGGATTGCTTTATTAAATCTGCCTATGCTCTTTTAGCTGCATTATATATATTTCTCGCAATCGAGATATACATGGTTTTACCCCACTAATTCTCGGAGCTCCCAAAGAATTATTTGTACTCATGAAAGCGTAGTCTCAAAGAATTATTTGTACTTATGAGGAATCTAATTTTAAATCTGGTGCTTCATGTACTTTTATTTTTTGATTTTCAATTGTATCCAAACATCTTATTTTTTTATATTTCCATTAAAATGGTATCTCTCTTTGATTTTGGATCATGTGTGTGATTATGAAATTATGTGTTGATTTGTAAGGTTGCTTTCAGCTTTGGACAAAAATAAAATGAAATGCTCTTTGAATTATCGACTCTCAATTAACTATGTTGGCAGCCTATTGCAATCGATTAGAATGATTAATAAATTCTTAAAATTTTGTTTCTTGTGAGGGAGGGTCTAATTTTGTAATTTTGCTTTAATGGTATTTGATAGTAACAGAAAAATTCAGTAAGTTAATATTTATATTTGGTTTTATACTAAGTCGCATAAAGTGTTAGATAGAGCGCAAAAGCAACAAAATTAAATTACAAACAAATCGTGAGAATGGGAGCTAGATTTACACCTGTTAAAAAGAATTGTATGACCTAGATTTTAACACAAACACACTTGTCATAGGCTAGCTACACCTATTGTAACTTCTGCGGCTAGCTATTGGTCACTGTTGGTGTTTGTTTGAGTGTGTTTGGATCATAAAAAAACAAACATATTTCAGCCACTACATGAATAGCTTCCCAATGAGATTGAGGAAAAACTTCAAGACAAAATGGCTGAGCTAAATCTAGTTTATGATTATGTTAAGTGCTGTTAGGAGGAGATTGAAACAGCACTGGACCGTCAATAAGCACATCAATCTTAAGAATCATAGTGTGAACTATACTCTAATACAGGTCCATAGAACACGTGTGCCATTAGGGGAGAGAAAACCCTAACGTACCTCGATTTGGAAGGAGAAAGAGAAGGAATGAGAGAAATGGTATAATAATACTTGTTTAACCTTCCAAAAAAAAAAACCTTTAGGAGTCATCCAAACCAACATGAATTTGTTCTAATTTTTACAAGAGTTGGGCTGAAATATTTAAACATAACACGACTTTGTCATATATATGTATGTTTATACATGATTTTAACACACACACACTGGCCATAGGCCTAAATACCACACATTAACTAGTACATAATGGAACACATACACAAAACTAGTAGTAATCATGATGCAACTAATAAGCTCCATATGATCAAAGTAGTTTCACGGCTTATTTATCATTAAGCAGTAGTTGCCATGGACTGATATAGATATATATTCAAAGCATATAATTTTAAATTTTTAAGCTCATTACATCAACAAACTATCAAGACTTTCATTTTATTTTTGTCCAAATCTGAAAGCAACCTTACAAATCAACACATAATTTAATAACCACACACATGATCCAAAATCAAAGAGAGATACCATTTTAATGGAAATATCAAAATTTAGTTAAAACCATTAATACTGACCATGGTTATATCCATTTGAAATTTTAAATTCACATTGTCAGTTACAACCAATACACACCACAATATTGCTCGATAGCTATGAGTAGTATCAATTCACTCCGTTAGAAAATAATATCTATGTAAAATCAGCTATATCTGTATCCTCCTACAAAAAGAGTCAGAATTTATCAATTTTTTACTATTATTTTTTACATGGAAATTGAATCTTTATTTGGAAGCGACATGAGATACCACTCAAGCTGAGTCGCTTGGATGGGGAATGGTGGTAATAGAAGTGGAAAAAGTAAGTAATACAAAAAATAAAAAATGGTTCCTATTAGAAAGAATTCTGAAACTTAACAATTTGTTCAATTTTAAGATAACCAGACTATTTACGGGAATCTTCCATGCCCACATAGTCAGAGGGCCAAAGAAGAATGATTTTATTTGTTTTGGTAGCTTTTTTCATTCAAGCTATATATTCAAGGCTCTTTGATGACTGCAGACTAAATCCTCAGCAGAACCTAGGAATTTAGGAGTTAAAATTCAAAGCCACCAACACATAGGTAGTCCAATTAGTTTTTATGTATAATTAATTATTATAACTCAATTTAGATCAAGAATTATTCAAGATTGTTGCCTCTTTCTCAAATGGCATGTAGAGTATACCTCTGTGTAATATGTCTTTAGGCATCTACGCACATGATAGAATTGATGCAAAAGCTAGCAAACTCTATAAATGAGGCTTTTTTAATATATGTATTTAGCATTAATTTATCAAAAAAATGTATTTAGTATTAATTTATTATTCCAACATTCCCTTGTACTTGTCTTCCCCATTTTCAAGACTTACACATATAAATTATGTGTGTGAAAAATATTCAACACTCTGCTCTCTCTCTATTTAACTCTCAATTTTTTATTTTCAATTTATATTGTCTCATTTAACTCTCTATTCATCTCATAATCTCCCTCATCTTGTATATATGTTTGTTGTACACATAGTGATACAATTATCTAGTAATCAATGGCATTGATTTTGTGGTTGTATTTTGATTTGAAAAAAGGTCTGTAGTGTGTGTTTAGGAAAAGTTTAATCTTGACACCGCCTATCCCTATTGAGGGAATTAGTAGTGTTTCGCTGTAAATAGATCTCTAAATTACATTATATAATTATGATATTTAATTGTTTTATATTTCATTATTTTTTGAACTTCATATTTAGTTTTTTTTTTTTTTTTTAAACTAATGAGTCAATTTTCGAAGCAGTTGGACAAATGGATGAGAGACAAATTATATGCTATTGTCGATTTGATGGGAAAATTGACAAAAATGAGAATGGGGAAATTATATACATCGGCGGTGTCACAGACCCTTTTATGATAACAACAACAACAACATACGAATCATTTATAAATGAGTTACAACAACGTTCATCTTCAAACATGAGTGGTAAAGTCATATATTATACCACCGAATCTAACAAGAATGAACTTTTGAGGATGACGGGAGAATCTGGATTTAGAGTGATGCTTGTAGTGAGTGGTCCCATGCTAAATGTGTATATGGAAGATGCAGAGCCTGTAATTGCATCATGCACAATTCCTACTGATCATAGTGAGAGGTAAGACACATATATTTAAAGTAATACATTGATGTATGCGCTGCATAGGTTATGTGATTTTTAATATACCTTTTTATCCACTTGTAGACAATTTGTTGAAGCCACATCGCCAATTGGTCTTCTACAAAGTGTTGCGTCAACATCTTCATTTCCTCCGATAAATGCGCATCGGGATTCTTTCCGACACATTGATGACATTCTTTGCGTGGATTAGCTTTTTGACAGCCCAAATGATTTCAAAGATGCACTCGTTTTGTTTGGTCTTCGTAATCATTTTCGGTTCAAGTACTTGGACAATAGCAGAAAATATTATAGAGTTGTGTGCGAGGTTAATAATTGTCCATGGAAATTATCAGCTGGTTGTGAAGGAAGTGGTGATATAGTGAGAATCAAGCGGTTTAATAATGTTCACACTCACACTGCTCAAGACATTTTAGATTATAAAGCCATTTTTTGGTCGAAGGAAATGGGTCGAGCTATTGTGAACAAGGTTAGGGACAATCCTAAATGCACCCCCAAGACTATTTCCACAGACATAAACGGTGAATTTTCTGCTAAAATGACTTACATGCAATCGTGGAGAGCTAAGGAGTGTGCACGTCATATCATTGAGGGAAATCCCAAGGATAGCTATATTTTAGTCCCGTGGTTGTGTGAACGAATAGCAGAATATATTCCTGGGACAATTACATCGTGGGAGTGCACGGATGATAGGAGATTTAAGCGAGTGTTTGTAGCTTATGGGTGCTCCATACGAGGTTTCATCAACTATTGCAGGCCCATGTTAGCAATCGATGCTTGCCACTTGAGTGGCAATTATAAAAGAATAATGCTTGGTGCAACGGGGTTCGATGCGAATGATGGCTTGTGGCCTTTGGCGTATGCTGTTGTTTCTTCTGAGAATGATGATGATTGGCATTGGTTCTTGAGCAAGGTGAAAGAGATTCTAGGTGGTCGCATTGTGACAATCTTAACCGACAGGCATCCGAGCCTAATAAGTTGTATTAGAGATATTTTTAGCTCCCAGTACCATTCATGGTGTCTTCGTCACCTAACGGCTAATTTTTCTACATCCATTCTTGGGAGACAAAGTTTAGGATTGAGGGCTTCGGGTAAAGAGCATGCGAAAAAATTACTCGATAAAATTGCATATGCTCGAACTGTAGATGAGTATAAGAATGCATTGGCTGTCATGCGGGTATTTCGAGGGGAGTTATGCGATTGGGTTTTGGCGAATTCACCTGAACATTGGTCAAATGCTATGTTTACTTCCAAGCGTTGGGATAAATTATACACCAATCAAGTAGAGTCCTTCAATGCATGGGTGAAAGAAGAGAGGGTTTTTTCAATCACAAGGCTGATGGATACACACATGCAAAGACTCAGCAAATTTTTATACCAAAAGAGTTTGGACGTTCAGAAGTGGACTATCCCGGTTGGGGATCGTATTGAGGAGAAAATCAAAAAAGAGCAAGAGTTAGCTCTTGGTTTTCAGTCGATGTGTGTTTCGCCTACTGAGTGTACAATATATGATCGAGACAGAAAACCATTCAGGGTGGTATTTGGCAGTGAAAATTCTTGTAGTTGTTTGAAGTGGACCATGAGTGGGATTCCTTGTTCGCATGCATGCTATGCCATCCATGAATTATCTTTAAATATTTATGAGATGGTTGATCCATGGTTTAGGGTTGAAACACAACAAAAACTATGTGAACATCTCATGTCTTCTGTCCCCATGCATGATATGCCGAATCCAGCTGCTGTTGCTGCTGCTGACGGTGAAGGTGCTTCCCATCTTAGGCCTCCTGCGGTAACACGTCCCCCTGGACAACCTCGTATTAAATGAATCGAATCACAATTTCAAAATGTAAGGTCGTTACACTGTTCGCGATGCGGCGAGAATGGTCATAATCGTCGAAAGTGCAAGGCTCCTGTACCTGGATAGAATAGTTATATAATTGCTAATTCTGGTGGAGTTATTTTGTAAGGTGTTAAGGCCTTAAATATGGAATTATTTTGTAATTACTATTAATTCCTTGGAGCTCCCCTACTGCATTAGTATAACTATGTTGTGATAGTATTTCTAACTTATTTAGAAAACATTTCTAAGTATGATGTAACTTATTCTAAGTTGAATCTGTATTATTCGTCTGGTGGTTTATTTTGGTATTGAAATTATTTTCCTGGGTCCTCGTATGAGTCTCATATGGAGTGTTATTTAAAAATCATAGGTGTGTGAGTTTTCTGGCAGCTGGAGGGTCGTGAAAGCAAGGAGGTTATGGGATTATGTGACAATGGACGGGCTTACATGTTACATGCTTACGGAAGGCTAGGAAAATAACATCATATTAAAGTCATTATGACTTGTTTCCTCACTATTAATTCCTTGGAGCTCCCCTACTGCATTATGACTGTTATTTCAACCACAATTTACCTCGTGAGTCTCTCTCTTCCTCACTTTCTTTGTGTCTCAAAAATTATATGAACATTGTGTTTACATTATCAACATTGTTTGACAGATGAGGATGAATGGATAAATCAGTACAAAGGAAGAGTGTTCAGTTTAAACGACAAGCCTGTGGTGCACAAAATTTGGCTGCCGAATGAGGAATACCCCAGATTGGCAATGTCTAGAGCCTTTGGGGACTACTTTATTAAGGATTTTGGACTTATATCCGTCCCTGAAGTGAGGTGTTGTCACATATAACCAGCAGAGACCAATTTGTTGTGTTGCGAACCGATGAGGTATGTATGGCACTTTTTGGTATTTATCACTTGTTCTTTTTTATACAATGACAAAGAAAAAGACTTGTTTGTTTCTCTATTAAATGTCCAAAAGATCACGTGAACGAATACGTTTCAAACTCACGAGCATAATTGACAATAATCACTTCAAATTATGTGATATCAGTTATTATTAATGAGTTTACAGGTTTTTGTTTTGGCTCAAATTGATTGGATTTTGAAATTAGTATGGATTTTTGAAGTTAATCTTAACATGCTGTGATCCTTGTTTTGTAAGCAGAATTTTTCCTATCTTTTCCTTCAAACCTTATTTAATCGGTAAGAAAATTTATTGATTTAAATTGATAGAAGAAAAATTGTGTGTTTAAGCTTCCAATGGACTTGGTTTCATGCAAATTGTTTGAGAATTTCTTTTTTATTGATTTTTCAAAGGGAAGTATGTATTTCTGGGAAAAATTGTTTCAAATAGATTTTTGGGCTTCCTTCTGATTTTTTGTGGTCCAAATAGTCCAATCATGTTTGATAGAATAAAAAAATAAAGAAACAATAATAAAAAGGATTTTGCTATAATCTTAGTTGACTACTGTTACCCCATTTATTTATTTATTTTGTTTAGAGTCTTGCTTTTGGTTACTAGCGCCTAATAAAAAAGTTGTCTGCTCATATGTCCCCTATTTTTGAGTTTTTTCATTTAACCATCTCCACTTGTACAATATTTTGGTGTTACATTTTGTTTAATTGATTTGCATGTACTTCAAATGTAGTCTTCCCGCTAGGGGCTGGGAAGAGATAACAACGGGAGCGTCGATTGCATGGCTATCAAGTACATCAAATTTGTAAGTTATATGGTCTTTATGTTCGATAAAAATCTTTTATGATTGCACATTTGTAATGCTTTTTATACTCATACTTGGGGGGGTCACATGCCTTTAAGTGACCAATTTTATGGTGTATCTTGAACTTTATTACCTTATTGCTACATTGGCCCATGTGGAGGCCATTTTTTTTTTCTTGTTTTAAAATGTTGAAAGCATGGGAGTATGGGATCATCGTATGTGGAGGTTTTGATTGATTGTTGTGGAGGAGAAGTTGTTGATATGTTGTTTAATGAGTTAATGCAAGTTCTCACGTTCTTCGTACATGTTGATATGTGGAGGTTTTGCTAATTTTCTCTTAAACCCAACTCATTCATCAACGCTCTCTTGCTCTCTCTCTCTAGTCTTGTTCATCGTTTTGCTAGGATTTCTACTCTGTTTTTATACAATTTTGATCCATATATATATATATATATATATATATATATATATATATATATATATGCTGTTCTTAAAACATCAATTTTGGATTCAGGAATTGGACACAAAAATGTCGCGATTCCCTCTCTTCGATTAGAAACTTCGAAGGCAAAATTTGTGCAAAAAAGTATGTGTTTCCATCTGCTTGTGTGTGTTTATGTATGTTCGCCAACCAATTGATATTTTCGGCTTTCTGTTTCGTTGCAATGAATTCAAGAAAATGAGAAAAGTTTAAATTCTTTTAGCTTTTGTATCGAATTCCTTTTGATTTTCTTTCTTTTGTTTGTCTTCGTGAATTTGTTGGACTTTTGGATTTACTGTGAACTACGGTTTCTTCGTCTACTGTTTGAATGTTTCTTTTTTTTAGATGATATCTAGTGTTGTTTCAATATCTTTAGATTTTTGTGGTTGATGTTCCCATTAATTTCTTGGATTTTGATTTTTTTTCACGTAAGGGTTTCTTTAGCATATTTGGATGGTTTATTGTCTACGAATATGAGTTTAAGGAATTTAGGGTTTATTTGTTCAACTTGTATAGATTCTGCACGACTAGAATTTTTGACATCATAAGATAATTTTTTAAGTCATAGTCCTGTAGGTTTCTTGGTTTGGATTTCCATGGGATTCAACATGAAGATTCAGGGAAAACACACTCAATATGTTTTTGTTTCTATTTGTATAAATTTGGATTTACGTAGTTCTTTCTTTATTAAGAGAAATAGACCCAATAAAGTTTAAATAATCAATAGGTCCCATAATCTCTTGAGAGAGGTGCAATGAGATTGTGATCAAAGACACATCAAAAGAAGAAGTGAATTCAAATATATTTGATAATGAAGCAATAGGTATAGCCATTTTAGGGCTTTCCTTTCACAATTCCTCATTGGGGGGATCCACAACACTTCTCCCTTTTCCCCTTATAACTTCCTCCCACTAATTCGAATTAGGTCTAGCCGTCCTCCTTCATTCTCCATTTTTGTGTATGCTTAGTAGTGGGCTTAGAAGAGCAAGATTGGGTAGAATGACCAAAAGATTCACAATCTAACATCTGTGACTTCTCATATAGCTTCCTCTCTATATATACCAGTCTCGAACCTTGACCAGTGGGTTTATAATTCAAACCATAAGCCAACAGGCTATAAGGTGAATCGGTAAGCATTTTCATTTCTCCAGTTGTTAGGTTTCTAAGTGAGGAAAAGAGATAATAATGTAATATTATCATATGTCCTATTGTCTTGGATTACAAAGAATTTTTACTCGAAAGGAACCAAAATAGTTGTAGAAGACAGTAACGATAGTTTCAGGTTTTGTTTTTGTGTTCCATATAAAGAAAATATTACATTTCAAAATATACTCTCTTTATTTATTTAATTTTTTTTTTTAATATCTTTGCCTGCCTTCTTTTGTCATCGCAATAGGCTTCACACTAATCTTGCTCCTGGGTTTTAAACTCTATGGCTGATTTTTTCCTGTCATTTTGCCTTTATATATATATATATATATATATAGGTTTTATTGAAAATTCACACTAATCTTGTTCTTTTGGGATGGCAGCTGGATAGGTTTCTTCCCAACCGATCTGCAATGGATTTTGATTTTGCACATTACATGCTCAACGGTGGGATGGTAAGAAAGGAAAGCCCAACACCATGCTCTCCAGCCAAAGAAGCTTACAGGAAGAGGATCCTTGCTTTTAAGAACAACTCTAGGAGATAGATTCCCCAAGTGGGTTTTCTTTCTTTCCTTTTTCTTCTGCTTGTTGCTAAGCTCTCATTCTGATTTGTGTTTTGGATTGATTGCTTTCTTGTTGACATGTGTTTGTTTGGTAATTTAACAGTCTCCAGAAAGGATTCTTGTTGTTTCTGAGCTCCTAGATGAGTTTTATTTGAATTTACTGGATTGGAGTAGCAGTAACATTGTCGCTGCCGCTCTTGGGAATTCAGTATATTTGTGGAATGCTGCTAATGGCGCTACTTCTGCACTTGTTGTGATTGATGAGGAAATTGGGCATGTGACAAGTGTCAGATGGGCGCCGGATGGAGTACATCTTGCTGTTGGTTTAAGTAATTCCCACATCCAGCTGTTGGACCCTTCATCTTGTCGGATGGTAAGAGTTTTCTTTTAATTATGCTTTCGTTTTTTCTATTTTATTGATCATTTATGCTTTTGTTTCTTTGAACAGATTATTGTAAGTAATTAGATGAGGCATGGTGAAAAGTTGGCATTCTTTTTTAATGTTGTTCTGTTAAAAAAAGATGACAAGCATTTTTGACTAGTTGTAAGAAACCCTGGTCAATAAAGAAAAATTTTATTACAAAAAATGAGATGATAAACAATAAGATTCAAAACAAATTCTCGCTGAAAGAAAATTTAAATCAGAGAGGAAAAAGCCTAAAAATAAAGAATAGAGGCACTCACACCCCGAGTGGTTGGAGGAACGAAACGTTCAACTGAATAACTACAAACCAGGAACTCTGCTCTTTGATATTTCATGAACTCATGTTTTCCATGATATGTAGGTGCTAAGAAGAAATTGGGCTTCTGTCAGTTTCTCTAACTGCATTTTGTGTGGAAAAAGAAAAACTTAAAGAAAAACATGGGTTTAAATGCAACACAAGATGCATTTTTATATCCCATTTAAGTTCTGATAAAGTTGGTAGTTTCTTTTACCTTTTATTTAGTTTGGAAGAGAACAAAGTCCAGTTTAGTGGTGAAGTGCAAGGTTGAATGAGGCATGTATCATTGAAGATTTTATTATATTGATATAATGCATAGAGTGAACTACTATGAAGGATTATGGCTTGTATAGTTGGCCTATATTTTAGAAAACAAATATTAGAACTAAGAGTATTATATTCTTTATTTGGAGTGAAATGAAATGTATTTATTGCAAATTGTCACATTTCTCATGATCTAGGCATTAGATTTGATTTTTCTGGTGCCACCTCTCCATCCTGTACTCTAATTTTCTTGGTTTTTCTGAACAGCTGAGGACTTTGCAAGACGGGCATAGTTCAAGGGTTGGTTCTCTTGATTGGAACAATCACACACTATATTAGAAAACTGTATTAGAAAATTAAAAGAAACCAAAAACTGTCTTGGTATGGATGATGGCTTTAGGATACTGCTGAAGAAAATACTAAAAAAAAAAAAAAAAAAAAAACTGTGTTGGTGTAGGAGTGATCCCGAAGTAGGGTTATTAAAGAAATTAAAGACTCAAAAGGTGATGTTTAACTGGTTAATCTTGAAATATAGTTGCAGTTTCTTTGTCCAGTTCTTTTATGATCCTGTTTTCTTACCCCTTGCTGAAAATATCCTATACTGGATCTTGGTTCCCTTTACTATTTAGTCTATTACTACTTACATATCTTGTTCACTGATAATCAAGTTAAATTATACTTGTACTTGAGAATCCAATATAATTAATTGGTCTTTCTGGGTGTATACCAAAATTTACATGAAAATACAAAACCTTTGGAATTAAATTAGGCGGGTCACGGGGATTTAGACCTCCATTACCCAAATTAATTGCATGGGAAAGCAGTATTGTTTATCAGGAGTAGGCGGAATTAAGTTGCCAAATGCCCAAATTAGCACTAGGCTCTCTTATCTTGGTTTTGTTTATTTATGTATGTTATTTTGTTCGTACGTTTTGGTAGTAGTTTCTTCGCTACATTTTGTTTGTCAATGATGATGATATCTATTTGATTCATAAATGACAATCTTGTTCTTTCCTTTTTGTGATTAGCATACTGAATTTGAGACTTGTGTGATGCAGCTACTTGCTTGGATTTTGTACCATGGACAATGAGGTGATTTTTTGACAAGTGCAGACTGAAAATCAAGTGCTAGAAGGTTTATAAATTTGGTAAATAGCAGTGCTAGGAAATTGATGATATTCTTGACAAATGGATTTTGTTCCTGTTTTGGAACATTGATGAATGGTGAATTGTTTTGGAACTTTAGTAAATGATGAATTTTTTTAATGTACAATGAATTTTTTGTTGTAGTGATAGGCAGACACCATTCATGCACAACTTGAAAAAGTGATGGATGAAATAATTTAAAGATTATCCAAATGATATAAATAATTTATAGGAGGAAATCTATTTAAAAAATAAATTAACATTATAATAGTTTTGTTAAAATAAAGACATTAGATTAGTAAATTGTAATTACAAATAGGGATGTCAATACTCTGCCTCATGACAACAATGGCACTATTTATAACTTTTTCAAACACTAAGGCTTTTTCTTGATGATGTGACCATACCTCTTTATCTGCCATGGTGTAAGGCTGTTTTACATTATTTGGCTTTTTGTTCAATCACATGGCTAGACATAGAATGGGACTCTTACTGAATAAATCAGCTCTTGTAGATAAACAAAAGCAACCCACTTTCATATCTTATCATCACATGGCTAAAGTTAAAAATAGTGGTGCTAGGTGCATGAACTATTATGCAAGACACCCCACTTCCTGCCAAAGAGAGAGAGGTGTAAGTCCCTTTTGTCAAATCATCACATGGGTAAAACTCATTCACATGTCTGTGAATTGGGCTTTGTAAATAGACATATGGCATATGCACAAAGCCATAACATTAGCACTAGTAAATCTCAAGGACTGAGTTTTTTTGAGCAATAACGGGGAGGTGGAATTCATACAAAATACTGCATAAAATAAATAAAAAATACATACATTTCATATACATACTGCATAAAATTTAACTCAACTACTAAGTTTTTTTTAGCAATAACGGGGAGGTGGATTTACAAAGTCATCATCCCCTGTATCTGAATAATCTGACAACTCTGAAGCAACTTATAAGTCTGGATCATTAGTAATGGCTTGAATAACTTCAATTGGATCCTTATGCATCTTCTTTGCAATGGAAATGCTCTCATTCCTGCAACATCTGACATATAGATTTTTTAATAGCTTTGATCAAATATGAGAAAAAATAAAGATACTACATAATGAAAGTGCACTTAGAAATCTATTTAAAAAATAAATTAACATTATAATAGTTTTGTTAAAATAAAAACTTTAGATTAGTAAATTGTAATTACAAATACGGATGTCAATACTCTACCTCATGACAACAATGCCACTATTTATAACTTTTTCAGACACTAAGGCTTTTTCTTGATGATGTGACCATTCATCTTTATCTGCCATGGTGTAAGGCCACTTCAAATTATTTGGCTTTTTTTTCAATCACATGGCTAGTCACAGAATATGACTCTCACTGAAAAAATCAGCTCTTGTAGATACACAAAACCAATCCACTTTCTCATCTTATCATCACATGGGTAAAGTTAAAAATAGTGGTGTTAGGTGTATAACACGACAACTATTATGAAGACACCCCTATCATGCCAAAGAGAGAGATGTGTAAGTCCCTTTTGTCAAATCATGATATGGGTAAAATTCATTCACATGTCTGTGAATTGGGCTCTATAAATAGACATATGGCATATGCACAAAACCATAACATTAGCACTAGTAAATCTCAGTTGTTGATCTATGGACCGAAAGTATATAGAACGAAAGTACTCGTTAAGAGATGCATGGATTGAAAGTAGTTGTTTTACATTCTCAATCGTTCTCAAAACTATTCCATTTATAACTCCTCACATCGATTGTTCATTTTTTTTTATGTAAAACTAACCTGGCATGTAATCGTCGTCACCTCCATCGAGATTTGGTGTGTATTTATTTTTCAATGTGTTCAAGTGTGTATTTATTTTTCCCTCAATAAACATTTTGATTGTGTTTTTACAAATGTACCCTGTATTTATTTTGCTATTATTTGGCTTCTATTCATTATAACATTATAAGTTATTCCATTTTTAACTCCTCATATTTGAAACTATTCCATTTTTAACTCCTCACGACACTTCGTGAGGCCATGAGACCCCTCCGACGTATAGGATTTTGCTGCTTGCCATTGTCTTCAACCAGCAAATGTTCTTCCTTCATATATAAGAAAATACTAGGAAATCTCCTCAGTATATATAATAAGATACTAGGAAATTTTCGAACTCTAGTGAATTGTCTTCCATAAATTCATGCTAACCCTTGTAAAAATATTTTGTGTTATTAACCTCTCTCACTTCAACCCGCTACGATTTGCTTGCATAACTCCTAATTATAGACTTGGAAGGTAAAACTCTATCAAATTGCTTAAGGAACGCTGGTGGAAGTTGCAGTCGTTGAGAGCTCCGTTCCGGGAGAAAAACTTTGAAGAACTATGGACACTAATCAGGTAAGGAGAACTTTTTGCAAAGTACTATTTCATAATGGAACTGGCTTAAAAGCAGCTTCTTTACCTATTAGGGAGAGAATAATTATTTTTAGGATATCTTATAGAATAATAATAAAAAAAATTAGCTTCTGTGTAATGTTTTAAGTGATGTTGGAGTATATTTTGTATTACTCATTCCCTCAAGTTAGATAGATTGGAATAAAGTTTGTACTCTTTATGGCACTAATGGATTTATTTATGGATGTAATGTGCAACCTAATTAGCGGTGTGGGTTATAATACCATTTTCAATTGCAAAAATAAATCCCTTTTGCGAAGGTAACACTTTTTTTCCAAAGGTACCACATTTTTGAACTGAAGGTACCACTTTTTGGCGTCAAGGTACCACGTTTTCTCTAAACACTTATTCATGGCGCTAATGGAGCTATTTATGGATGTAATGTGCAAGAAAATTAGCGGTGTGGGGTGCAATACCATTTTCAATTGTAAAAATAAGTCTCTTTTGCGAAGGTACCACTTTTTCCCTAAAGAGACCACGTTTTTGAACTGAAGGTACTTCTTTTTGGCGTCAGGGTACCATATTTTCTCTAAACACTTATTCATGGTGCTAATGGATTTATTTATGGATGTAATGTGCAACCTAATTAGCGGTGTGGGGTATAACCATTTTCAATTGCAAAAATAAATCTCTTTTGCAAAGGTACCACTTTTTTTCCAAAGGTACCATGTTATTGAACTAAAGGTACCACTTTTTGGCGTCAAGGTACCATGTTTTCTCTAAACACTTATTCATGGCGCTAATGGAGCTATTTATGGATGTAATGTGCAACTTAATTAGAAATGCAGGGTGTAATACCATTTTCAATTGCAAAAATAAGTCCCTTTTGCGGAGGTACCATTTTTTTCCAAAGGTACCACGTTTTTGAACTGAAGGTACCACTTTTTGGAAAAAAGGTACCACGTTTTCTCTAAACATTTATTCATGGCGCTAACGGGAGCTATTTATGGGTGTAATGTGCAACTTAATTAGCGCTGTGGGGTGTAATACCATTTTCAATTGCAAAAATAAGTCCCTTTTGCGAAGGTACCACGTTTTTGAACTGAAGGTACTTCTTTTTGGCGTCAGGGTACCACATTTTCTCTAAACACTTATTCATGGCGCTAATGGATTTATTTATGGATGTAATGTGCAACCTAATTAGCGGTGTGGGGTATAACCATTTTCAATTGCAAAAATAAATCTCTTTTGCTAAGGTATCACTTTTTTTCCAAAGGTACCATGTTATTGAACTAAAGGTACCACTTTTTGGCGTCAAGGTACTATGTTTTCTCTAAACACTTATTCATGGCGCTAATGGAGTTGTTTATGGATGTAATGTGCAACTTAATTAGCGTTTTGGGGTGTTATACCATTTTCAATTGCAACAATAAGTCCCTTTTGCGAAGATACCACTTTTTCCCCAAAGGGACCACATTTTTGAACTGATGGTACTTCTTTTTGGCGTCAAGATACCACGTTTTCTCTAAACACTTATTCATGGCGCTAATGGATTTATTTATGGATGTAATGTGCAACCTATTTAGCGGTGTGGGGTATAATACCATTTTCAACTGCAAAAATAAATTCCTTTTGCGAAGGTACCACTTTTTTTCCAAAGGTACCACGTTTTTGAACTGAAGGTACTAGTTTTTAGCGTCAAGGTACCACATTTTCTCTAAATTATTCATAGTGCTAATAGAGCTGTTTATGGATGTAATGTGCAACTTAATTAGCGATGTGGGGTATATCATTTTCAATTGCAAAAATAAGTCTCTTTTGTAAAGGTACTACTTTTTTCCCAAAGGGACCACGTTTTTTGAACTGAAGGTACTTCTTTTTGGCGTCAAGGTACCACGTTGTCTCTAAACACTTATTTATGGATGTAATGTGCAACTTATTTAGCGGTGTGGGGTATAATACCATTTTCAACTGCAAAAATAAATTCCTTTTGCGAAGGTACCACTTTTTTTCCAAAGGTACCACGTTTTTGAACTGAAGGTACTAGTTTTTAGCGTCCAGGTACCACATTTTCTCTAAACTATTCATAGCGCTAATAGAGCTGTTTATGGATGTAATGTGCAACTTAATTAGCGATGTGGGGTATACCATTTTCAATTGCAAAAATAAGTCCCTTTTGTAAAGGTACTACTTTTTTCCCAAAGGGACCACGTTTTTTGAACTGAAGGTACTTCTTTTTGGCGTCAAGGTACCACGTTTTCTCTAAACACTTATTTATGGATGTAATGTGCAACCTATTTAGCGGTGTGGGTTATAATACCATTTTCAATTGCAAAAATAAATTCCTTTTGCGAAGGTACCACTTTTTTTCCAAAGGTACCACGTTTTTGAACTGAAGGTACTCATTTTTGGAGTCAAGGTACCACGTTTTCTCTAAACACTTATTCATGGCGCTAATGGAGCTGTTTGTGGATGTAATGTGCAACTTAATTAGCGATGTGGGGTATACCATTTTCAATTGGAAAAATAAGTCCCTTTTGTAAAAGTACTACTTTTTTCCCAAAGGGACCACGTTTTTTGAACTGAAGGTACTTCTTTTTGGCGTCAAGGTACCACGTTTTCTCTAAACACTTATTTATGGATGTAATGTGCAACCTATTTAGTGGTGTGGGGTATAATACCATTTTCAACTGCAAAAATAAATTCCTTTTGCGAAGGTACCACTTTTTTTCCAAAGGTACCACGTTTTTGAACTGAAGGTACTCATTTTTGGCGTCAAGGTACCACGTTTTCTCTAAACACTTATCCATGGCGCTAATGGAGCTGTTTGTGGATGTAATGTGCAACTTAATTAGCGATGTGGGGTATACCATTTTCAATTGCAAAAATAAGTCCCTTTTGTAAAGGTAATACTTTTTTCCCAAAGGGACCACGTTTTTTGAACTGAAGGTACTTCTTTTTGGCGTCAAGGTACCACGTTTTCTCTAAACACTTATTTATGGATGTAATGTGCAACCTATTTAGCGGTGTGGGGTATAATACCATTTTCAACTGCAAAAATAAATTCCTTTTGCGAAGGTACCACTTTTTTTCCAAAGGTACCACGTTTTTGAACTGAAGGTACTCATTTTTGGCGTCAAGGTACCACGTTTTCTCTAAACACTTATTCATGGCGCTAATGGAGCTGTTTGTGGATGTAATGTGCAACTTAATTAGCGATGTGGGGTGTAATACCATTTTTAATTGCAAAAATAGGTACCTTTTGTAAAGGTACCACTTTTTTCCTAATGGGACCACGTTTTTGAACTGAAGGTACTTCTTTTTGGCGTCAAGGTACCACGTTTTCTCTAAGGAAGATCCAAACCAATTTTTCATTCATTAAACTATCCATTTATCGACACCATGGAACCAAGGAAGATCCAAACCAATTTTTCATTCATTATAAACTGCTTCAGTTTTAAACTCCATCAAATTTGAAATTAGTACATTAATATAGTAGTGAAAGAAATTTCATTGAGACCCTAATATAATAAGCCATACAATACTAATTCCTGAAAATCCAAAAGAGCAACTTCATTTGATTTCATATAAGGTAGATGCCAATATAATAAGCCATGCAATAGTTGCAAAAATATACCAACCTAATCCACAATCAAAAGTTGCAAAGCTACTATTCTTTAAAACTTTAAAAATAGCTAACACCAACAGAGTGCAAAATACATGCAAAAAAAAATGACAATATTCAACATTACAAATGTCCCATATCCCACATCATTTTAGGTACCACTTTTTAGAAAATTCAACGATCCTCCTATCCCACTTCCTCTAGCTTCCAACTGGGCAAATACTGGTATGTATTTCCTTGTTATGTGGTAAACCAATTTGTTGCCCTTATCCTTTGAAGACTAATCAGAGTCCTCTTGTTTGTGTATTTGATGGACATGCATTCTTTCTATCTCTGTGTAGTTGGAACAAAATAACCACTTTGTCTCTGTGATTGTCACATGCAATAAAAATTAAAGTATTAAGGCATTGTATAATATTAATAAGGAACAAAAGCAATATAAAAACAGACAATTCGAAACTTTGAATAATAATAATAATTTTAAAAAGAATCATCAAAATTAAAAAAGAATTTATAATTTGCCCAACACCCTGCAAGTGACCTCATTATCCAACCAACTTAGTAGTACTGCTATTTAAAACATGTTTGAACAATTACATAATAATTTTGAGTTTACTTAAGAGGTTGAATATTTCCATTAGAGCTCTTGACAAATATATCACATGGAAAAGTGCAAATGAACATTGAGCTATAGTACTAACAACTAATTTATACTAATAAATTGTTGTATAGCAAAAAATTATATTAGAAGTCGAGGAAATTACATCTTATACGCCTTGATGGATTAAGATGGAGATAGTGAGGTTCCTTGAGGTAAATGGTACCTTGTTGGCTGATGGAGGTGATGTTAGAATCATAAAAATAAAAAAAATAAAAAAAATTACTAACCACAAGTAAGCTGATGGAAGCTTACTTGAAATCAACATGCTTGACCAAATGGATAAAGTGCTTTGTTCTTTACAAAATCCTTCATTTTGTTATTGTCATCTGAAAGCAAATTTGAAGCAATAATTGCACGTAATCTATCAACGTCCACCTGTAAATTAAACCAGGTAAAGACAAATCGTGAATATAGGATAGGGAAATGGACTTCATGCGTGAATACATATAAGTGTAAATAGATAGGAATCTAGTGTTGCAGAAACTATGTATTTGATAAAGAAAACTTTTTCAACAATGTTGAATTTGGCATATGCACAAAATCTCGGTGATACTAAACTTTTATATGTGAAATATTGCATAAACAGGTAGCTTCATCCTTTGGAAATATGTTAGCAATTTGGTCAGATCAGCACAGAGACAGAACATAAACAAAACCAAAACAAATCTAATAATACGAAAGATCTCCCTGTCCCAAAATAGTTATCCCTTTTTACTGATTCCAAACACTCACTGGCACGCACCTTTTTTCTGATATTCCAAAAGTAATCTTAAAGTGACTATTTATTTTGAAATTTTTTAATCATTTATTTCAATATGTCGTAGTTTCAGTATCTTTTGTGTTCGGTTCATTTTTAATGAGCACCACTAAGTACAGTGAAGTGATCATATAAACTGCAATATGTTCATTTAAAATGACAGGAGTCCAGTATTTGCGTATCTAATTGGTTAGGTGATGTAGGAAAAACAAGGTTGACTGATGATTTAAGCTACTGATCTCATACTGAATTCTTTGACAATGAAAAACTGTCTGAAAATATTTAAGAGTATGCTATTCATTTAAACCTCACCTAGCAAAGCTGGTTTCTACTCGATAGGACCCATTATACAGTGGATGTCAAACATTTTCTATATCATTCATTACATGGTTCATTTTATTGCTTACTTTATGTTAGATCCGTACTCACTAGAGCTGGATGCTTTCTCTTTCCAAAAAATGGCACACATTAAGGGTATATTGCATTAGGGGGTTCTAAGGTTGAAAATTTTGTTGCCTAAAGGGGGTGCTTACCGCTCTCTTTGTTTCAACACGTGCCGTAGTCCGCTGGTCTTCCCGCTATTGACACTACGACATTGCAGCCTAGCGGGGAGAGATCGGAAAGCGAAGTACTTGCACACAAACATGGGTTTAAAAGATGCAAAAAGAAAAAAGAAAGGTATAAGCTGGAAAACGTGTAAAAACAGAATGGGGAGTGCAGTAAAGAGGAAGGAAAATGTTATAGTGGATGCATTTTGTGGTTGCATTAATTTTTTAAATTTTGTTTGCATGTATTGGAATTGAAGACCCTCCAGTTTCAACCCTTGAACAAAAGTATGTAGGAATGTGGATCAGTTTTACAAATATATTTTTTGAAACCTTTAAAGGAAAGACCCATTTCTTCCTTTGAAGACTAATGACCAGTGGGTGCTTAGATTAACAATGCACCAATGGTTTAGAAGAAAACAGAGAATTAAATGATTAACGAAGAGTATCGAGGAGATTGTGTGATTTAGTAATTCGGTATTTTCTTCATTCAGGGAAAAAAATAAATAAGACCCATGTAAAAAATAGAATTGGGCTTCACCTTCTCTTTTGGGTGACTGAGTGAACCATCCCATTTCTCCATGAAGTCCAACATGAAAGCACCACAACTATCACTGAATAAAAGACTGTTTAGGTATCTGTTAATTATAATTGTGAACATAATCAGTACACCAAACTAGGAACATTAAGTGATAAAATTACCTATCGGGCTGTTGAGGTACGTTGGGCACATTGTATATGAAGTTTTGTAGATCTCTTCCGGTGAATATCTCAACCAACATTACCTACAAATGCACAATATATAAATGATTAGAGTAAAAAATTCAGTACCACGTTCTTCAACTTGTATACTTTACCGTCCTAATTTAACAGTAAATGAATACATAATCAAAAAAATGAGCTCATATGTAATAAGCGTTTACCAAATCTTTTGACATCTTGTCTGGAGTATGCTTATCATACGAACATTGCTTCATTGAATCCAACACATCCATACGACTATCGCAAATGTTAAAGACATACAAGCACCAATGTTTCTCATTTACAAGTGTTGGAAAGAAAAGCTGCATATTTAACAATGTAAAAATTTAATTACTTTTAAAATCATATTTTTTTGATAAAAGTATAATAATTATTTATGTTTCCAAGCAATAAATATTACCATATTGAATTGGCGAACTTTGTTATCATCGACATTCCTTATCCTTTTATACTTGTTCCAAACTGCTTGTATTTTACCTTTCCTATCAACCACTTTTGAAGGTATCTTGGAAAGTTCAATCTGAAAATGCACACAATTGATAACCTAATATGTGTCAAACAAACACTCATTATAGATAGAAGAATTTGTTACCCCAATCAAAGGCGGAAAGAAAAATTTGGTTCCTCTACGCTTTTGTTTCAGCTGGAGCATTTGGCGATAGACTTCAACCACCTACAATGATCACATTTAAACCATTAATGCATGCGTGTGATTGGTTTGAAAAATCAATGAACTTTAAGTGAACATACCATATTTGATATCCAATGATTGTAAGAGATTGTTCTCATCTCTTTTCTTGTGAGGAAAATATCATTTATGTTCACCAGCATTTCACTATAATTAAACAATAACATATTAAGTGTTTGAGCATAGAAAGTAAGTAAATATAGAGCAAATAAGAAATTATTTATATAATTTCTCACTCATCATTTCTGCTCTCATCCATGGCATATGAGATGACTGCCTTTGCTTCTGGACGAAGGACACGCAATCGGTTGACCTTCATTTCAACCCAAGGTGATCCCTTATGGCGCCCAGGCTTTATAACACGTAATAAAGGGATCACTGCTTCCTGCACATCACGCTCCTCTTCCATTGCTGTGGAGGTTCCCACTTCCTCCTCCATTGGTGCGGGGATTTCTCCTTCCTCCTCCATGGGATCGTGTTTTGTAAAAGATTGCCAGGGTGAGTTTGCTTGTCTTGTGGAGGTTTCGATTCCTCCTCCACTGGTATGTGGGATTCATCTTCCTCCTCCATCGGATGGTGTTGTGCAAACAATTGCGAAGATGGGTTAGGTTGTCATGTGGATGAACTGGGTTCTGAGGATCTCGACCCTCTGCCTTGGCCTACATTGTGCCGTTGCTTCCATTTCTTAACAACTTTAATAATTTCATATGCCAACTCCTAACAATTTTAAACAAGTTTAATAAATATATATATCAGTTAATATATAAATGTAACCGTAGAGTTTCAAGTAATTATGAATATGCAAATATAACCGTATATTTAGTACCAATTATAAAAAGCCATAATTGACGTGATTACCTTATCGGCATCTTCAGATGTATCAGTTGTAAACTTTACCTCACCGAAGCCGAAACCATTATATTTATGCTTCTCCAAATTCAACCTCTCGCCTATTAATTTGTTGGTCCATCCACGTAGGCATGACATCTCAGGCTTCGGTTTTGGTCCATTGACATCCACCCGGTGTAGGTAGAAAAGCTACAACATATAAGCCATTATGATAATGACATTATAGCTATTTAAAATAAAATGATAGACACATTACAAATATTATATCTTAGAACATACCATGAGAAAGAACAAGCATCCATGTATGTATGTACAACCTTCTCTTCCTTCCTTTCCTTTATAGGACGCAATTCCTTTTTTCAACCAATCTAAAACAAACTTCCCCCAATTATATGATTTAATAGCATCCACATTGTCAACCGCTGCCAATAACCTTTTGCTTGTCTCATTTTTCGATATGGGTGCTAGAAGTGATCCGCAAGCGAAAAGGACAAAAGCCCTCTTGAAGTCATCCCCAACAGGAAGAACGTCTAATTGATGCACTAAGTTTGGCACTTCTATTACACCGTCCTTTAAAAAAATGCCATTTTCTAACCAATGCACACTTTGTACAATATAATTTGGCACATCTTCTCCTCTTCCCGAGGGTAGGCCAAGTACCTCTTCAACGTCACTTGGCATAACATGGATCCGAGCGCCAGATTCAAGGGTGAGATGAGATGTTCTAGGGTCAAAGTGTTCTACCAACCATAAGCACAGGTTGCGCTTCAAAATGGTACACTCGATGTCTAAAAGGGACCCAAACCCAATCTCTTATACGGCAACCTTTTTGTCTTCACTTAAATTGCAAACCGTTTCCTTGAATTTATTTGGAGAACACCGGGTATTCAACATCTACAAATAAATTACCAACACAGGCACATTAGATACAAAAAGGAAGGATAGAGCACATATATGGACATAACAGTCCAACTTAAATTTACCAATTTGCACTTTTACACATTACATGTTGAAAAGATTCAATCTCAAATCTGCTAGCTTACAAAGGCACTTGGGAGTACTCATATATTCCTAATTCATTAATTCAATACACATTCTTTGGAATTAATCCAACTAAGCACGTTAATGATAGGTAAAACACACTAAAAGAAGCATATATAAAGCATCACTTAACCCAATCGAATAGATAAAAGGAAAAAAAAAAAACACTTACAGTTTTTATTTTTATTTCTTTTATTGAAATTGTTCTAAAGTTCTTTTCCTTGGATGTTAATGGTCGTATGGTTTACCTAATAAGGGAAGGAGGAAGGATCCAATGTCCTCATACCATTTGTTATGGGAATGAAGGTTCTACCTCGTATTTTTAATTAGAGAATAACTCTAGGGGGTTTCGATTACCATTGGAAATGCTCAGCTCAGAGGATAAGTAATGGACCTTTTTGTTGATGATCTTATGTTAATTGCAGCTGGGATGTTGAATCTGTTAAAATACTGACAGAATCAATAGCTCAATTTAGTTTTAACTTCTATTTCTAGCTTGATTCCAAATAATGCAAAGAGGTGTCATATTCTGATCTGGTATAGAGACTGCTACCCAAAACCTAATTCTCAGAAAGCTTAATTTCTCTATTAGGACCCTCCCAATTAGATATTTGGGAGTTTCATTATTGTCTAATAGACTGAATAAGCAGCACTGTGATCCTTTAATTGAGGAGTTTTGGACTACCAACTACTCATTTTGTGCTGGAAGGTTACAACTTATAAAGTCTATGCCATTCTCAGTGCAAGTTTATGTGGCTTCCACCTTTGAATCTAGGACATTCAAAATTCAAACACACAATCAATTACCAATTAAGCGCCCAAATTGGCCCACAAATATTAATAACATCAGTTTCTCTAGTCAAATAAATAAGTTAAGAATTATCCTTTTTCAAATAAAGTTTTAAGACAACACCATGATAATGATGATTTTTATTTTTGGGAAGCACTGGAAGTGTTTTTGTTGCTTCTACAACTGAATAACTACACAAATCTTTCAACCTTCAAACACAAAAACACACACACAAAAGAAAATAAAAAAATAAAAAAATGAAAATTTTGTTGTTTATATATTAATAAATTTTGTTACTTTATATTGTACTTTGTTTCATATACAATTGGGTGCCTGTCTTAATTGACAGATTTATGCTTCATGCGGTTAACATCCAATTTATTATTAGCATGAAAAAAACTGGAATAAAAAAAATATATATATATTTAAATAATTGAAGATATGACTTACCAGTATGAAGTGATGAAAGCACTCTAAAATATGGTAAGACCGTAGGGTGCTGCAATTGTAAAAATTATAATCCACAATAAGGGCCTTCAGCTTGTTCAAGACTAAAGTTCAACCCAAATTTACCAATTAGTCTTTCAAATCCTACAAAGGGAGATCCTGTTTCAGTCATTATCTTCACAAATATTTATAACTAAAATTCATAAAAAAAAAAAAACGTATATAAAAAAGATCATAAAAATTTTCACCAAATAGGATTTAGTTTGCAAAACAAGAATTACAGTTACAAATCTCTAAACAAGATAACCATAAATACGAGAAGCTAGAATGAACACGAACAGTCATCTTAAGACATATACACCAACTTATTAACTATTAATAGAAAATCGAACATGACACAGATATTCAAATTTATAAGTCCAATCTGTTGGCCTAAGGATTTAATCTAAAGGTCAAACTTATATTTTGATGATTACAAACCATTAATGATGTTTATGTACTAATATTTTTCCTTGAGTGCTATATAGTTGATCAATTAATTCAATCCTCAATATTGAGCCAGAAGCATTCCAAGTACTCAAGCAATGGATTCAAGGAAGCATTGAAGTTGCAAGAATTCAAAGATTATTCAAGTACTCCATCAAAGGCTAACCGATCATGGTCAAAGATTGAAGAAAAAGGTAGATTAGATGGTGAGAGCTTAAGATTTAATGTCAAAGTTAATTTGAATATATTTAAAGCTCAAAATTCAATCCATGCATTGCATTCCCATTTTATTTCTCAAAGAAAATAAAATCAGCTCATGATCACATTCACAGGACTTAAAGAATTTCATATTAAGTATCATAATGTGAGATGGAGAAGGCTCCATAAAACAAAGAGAAGGCTCTTTTCTCTTATTCAGTGAGCTCTGAGAAAATTCTTTTCTTTAACTCCAGTAAGTCTTTGAGAAGTATTTAAGAAAAAGATAGGGCTCAATCAAAAGAAAGAGAGGGCTCTTTTTGTTCCAAGATAGCTACGAAAATGGATCTTCAAAATAAAGAGCAGGCTCACGTTTTTATTGAGCAGGCTCTTTCCAAGGAAAATGAACAAAGAGCAGGCTCTTTGGTTTTCAAGAGACGGCTCTCTTTAGGGTTTTGAACTGTAACGTAAACATTTTCATTAAATGTTCTCAACAACCTCTAACAGCTATATTGAACTCTGTTTATTCTATAAATACTGAAGTTGGTCTTCAAACTAAAGGATCTTTTTTTAACAGAGAACATTCTATCATTCCTTGAAAAGCATTAAAGAAGTTTTCTGAGCTTTCATTCCCTCTCTGTTATTTCATATCACTGTAGTAATTCTGAGCTTCACGTATATTCATCTTTTCTATAGTTGTGA